GTCTTACAAACTGGTCAGTGAATATCAGCTGATATTGTGATTACATGTGATTGAATTAATTTATTTGCAATATGCAGGGGGATAATAGCATGGGCTACTTATAATGTACATCAGAATTTGAAATGAATGCAATTCAAGGTCAAAGATGTGAACATATTCAGTAATTTAATAATAAAAATATATCAGTGGATCTACGACAGCTTGTAAAATGCACCTTCATTAGGTTGCTCTGTTGTGAGCAAATCTGGTGAAAATGGCTCTCCTCCCACGTGCACTGAGGTCTTCAAACCAACTTTAGTACTAGCAGTTTTCTTCAAAAAGATAAATCACAAATAATTGTCACTTGGGTACAGTAACAACTGTATTAGAGATGGCAAGCTATGGTGCAAATTTACATTTTCAAGAATGGATTTATAGTTTGACCCAGCACCAAGAATCACGACCTCTGGCCAGAACTGATTTTCTGAGCATGCACAGATATAGAGAAATCTGCGATTCATGGACTCCCATCAAATCTGACAAATCTAATTGGCTGAGAATATGAAACAAATACTTTAGGCATGCTCAGAAAATTTGGTCCGGTCAGAGGTCCTGATTCTTGGTGCTGACCAAAAGGAGCGCGGCCTCTATCTGGGGACAAGAATTAATGACAGCGAACAAGAAGGCTGCATCCCAGTACTCTTTCATTAGCAAAATTTTAAAGATTTTAAAATTATTTATTTCTTTTAGCTATGGCCTCCTGTTTCTGAATTTTCTGAATGTCCCCTTGCAAGCCGAGTGAATGAGTAATTATAGACTGGAAAAAAAAAATTGCTCAACTGAAGTATGTACATTCTAAAGGAAACCATATCATACACTTGAAATTTTTTTATACAACTACATGTTTCTCCGTTCTTATTGCTGAAGCCTGGGGAGAAAGAAAAACTCCGATGACAGATGAAAGATGGAATTTTTCCACATGAGACAACTTTGAGTGGAAAATGAGAAGAATTACCCTACGTGACGTAGGCTATTACGTATATGTACACGTCACATTTTTTCTAGTCCACTTGGATGTCAACACCCATTTCATGATTCGACAAACGTTAGAAATTGTGTCGAAGTTATTCAAGTGCGAGAGCGAACGAAAGTAGATAGGATGGTAAATAATTTACATTAAATTAAATAAATACCTGCACAAGTATAGATAATTAACACTGTACCAGCTAACATTATTCGATAAACGTAAGACTTACATCTGGTCCCGTGCAATTTGATAGTTTCTCGATCACAGTTGACGGCATTCTAAAGCTGCGTTTGATCGTCTTATTTCTTCTATCCAACACCTTCTTTTCTGGATATTCTTCAGCACCTTTGTCTTTGTAGGAATTTAACAGAGCAGCTCTTAAATTATTGCTCGCCGTTCTATGATTAAACTTGACGTTTTTGGTACGTTTTGGATCTCGAAATTCAAACCAGTATTTCCAGACAACATCTTGCCAGTCCAGCTCGTAAATTCCCACTTGGCGATTTATAAATCGAGCGACTTTCCCTTTTTCTATCAAAGAACAGATCCAGCCGTATATTCCTTCGTCTGCAAACGACTGCGTGTCACCTGAAGTAGGAAATTAAAGTCGAAAGAATTGCGGAAAATCAAAACATTACTTGACACAAGTTTTAATTGACTCAGATTTTTCAAAATCAATTATTACCTTCAGAACCACTTGTGAGTCCACAGCTGCTGTAAGATTCTGAAACAGACCTACTTGAGAATGACGACGAACTGGAAGGGAAAGAGTCGGTAAAAGAGGAATAAGCGGCGTCCTCGTCTCCCCCAGTCGCCATTTTGTTTACTTCATCATGTCCAAGTGGACGAGAAAGTCTGGAACTATATTTGGACATGAGAAGGGGAATCCCCGGTTGCCATGGGATCAAAAAACGTCAGATTAAGCTTGTGTCAAATTTCTTCTCATTTCTTTCAAAATGGTGATGGGAAGTTCTCCAAATTGTACCCGGAGCAGTCTGTAAATCCTATATATAAATACTATAGGGAACGTTTCTACAAGATGATCCAGATTAGGATCACTGATCACTCGCACCGCTACCGGGATTTTCAATACGCAAAACACCCCCTGGAATCAACAGTTACTATAGAGGGGGGCGGAGGGTGGGGGAGCAGGACACGAAAGAGTGACGAACGGAAATTACTCCCTTCCCCACCCCACCCCCACCCCGCACTACCCCGCTGTCTACCGCTCTTTGAGTCACCATAAATCCATAAAGAAGTGGAAGCCAAAAATATGAAAGTAAAATTCAAGTCAAGATCAGGTCTTTCCCTCTCTTTACATTGTGTTCGAACCTCCTGGCCGGGAAAAATCTTGCAACAAAAACAGAAAAAGAGCCAACTATTCGGGAAAAAAAATACCAGGTTTGATAGATCGTAGAAATTTAACAAGCAACTACAAAACAAATTAAAACCTTTTTCTAAAGTTTATTCTTCGGCTGATGGCCCAAGCGTCAATTTTGGCAATCTCCATGCATCATTAGCTCAGGAGTAAGACAACCTTCCACACCGCTCAAAAGCCGATTAACAGTGGAAACACTTTACGCACATTCTCTGGCAAAGAGTAGCGAAAAACAGAACGGGTCATTCGGATCCAAGGCAGACGATGGAAAAAAAAAGATACGTCCCAAGAATGTTTAATGCTTTTAAATTGCCAAATAGTCCTCACAAGAAATAAGCAGCGCACAAATTACGTGCGAGTGCAAAAAGCAATGTTCACTAACTACCTTTATAGCGAATAACGCGAGGCCTCCGCAAAGCTTTACACACAAAAAAAGGGCCGGTAACAAGTGATGATATGCTTTATTCCCCTGACTTGCTTGGTGGAAAATTTCATTACAAAGGTAAGGAGAAAGGTGGTTTTGATCAGGGCTGGGGATAAAAGGAGCTACGTTACGAATTGTAGAACTTGAAAAATTAACGCATTTGTCTTGTTCAGGTTCGTCTTAAATTCTTAGTCTTTCTCAACACTAGCCATTTTTTTTGGGGGGGGGGCGGTGGTTGTTTACTTATTACCTCTTTAGTGTTTTTCTACCATAATAAACTGATATTTTTTCAGTCTGCTTTGATTTAAAGTTTAATAGTTTAACATCGCAAGCTGTAACGTGACATAGCTTCTTTACCCTTTAAATCCCAGGAATGATCAAACTCTCATTTCTCATTAAATCACCAATACATTTCCATTAAACAGGTGATGAGAACAAAGAAAATCATCAACTACGTGATATAGCCTTGATGTATAATCAAATTCTCTGAACTGATATTAAAAGAACTGTATGGCTGAGAGTAGGAGAATTTACATTTTCAACTTGGGACTGAAAGAGTTAAAATGGCTCAAGTGTTATCAAGTCAGGCGAATTACAACAGTCTTCAACAGCCTTATTTCCTTTGCGCAGAGAGAATTACGAATCGTTTGAACACGATACTGCACTACATCTCCCTGTAGCGGGATATCGTTTTTGTTTAATGTTTTTTTTTCCTTTGTCGTTTGATATCGTCACACAAGGTCAGGATATTCAGCTGGTATCCATGGACTCTGCGGAGCCGGCATCCCTCTGAATGGAATCAAACATGGAGGACAACTCGGGACTGGACTTGATCTGTGCGAGGAATTCACTGAGCAATGGACTTTTATCTGAAACAAATCCGACAACATTGTCTAACTTAGGAAGACTGAAAGTAGAAAAAGTAGTAACACTCGTACATCAAGTCACATTCAAAAAATTATCTGCCAATTCTGCAAATGTCTGCTGTTTTGTAAGTTGCTGTTTGCCTCTTGGAAGAGAGAAAATCCGCTTGAAAAAATTTCCGTACAAAAAATCCACCAAATATTTTCCTTCTGAACGCGTCACGAGACTGAATACGCAAGCTAAAAATGGGGAATATCCGAGTGATAATCCACCAATTTTCAAATACCGTGTGTTGCAAAAAATATTTGAAGGATAATAAACACGAGAGTCTCCGTTTGTCTTTAAAAACAGCTTGGATATTTGTTCTTGAACACTATCTGTTCTTCGAACACAGTTTTTCTTTCGCTATGGGAAAACTGTTCGTTTCTCGGAAAAGAAAATGTCCGCGGACAAATATCCGAGCACAGTTTCGCCAGATAGATGTTGGCGACAAATGAAGGTTATAATCTTGTGTTTATTGTGGATCAAATATTTTTATATTTGGATCGCTAAGGTCGCTCTTTTGTAATCTGTAGTGTCAAAATAATTCTGTAGGCATTCAAAAATAATACTGCTAGTTTGTTCAAAATATATAATACCACTCAGTTTAACAAATTAGTTGGAATGAAAACAAAATATATGAACATAAAACGGAGATCTGGAAACCTGGGAATATCACTTGGGATCGTCATCTACTCCCCAATTTTGGCTGTAGCACGTGACGTGTTTAGACCAATCACGCGAGATTTCTGAAACATCTTCCGACACCTCCGGGAGTATTCGGAAATCTGTCTTCGGAATTATTCGCAAGATTTTGGATGTCCTCAGAAAGGTGAGATTACGCCATGTCAGTGTTATTATAAGCTATTACAAAATAATTCACCGGCATTAAACCAATCAGAGTCAAGGAAATTGGTTATTTTAACCACTCACCACTGTCCGGAATCGACAGCAGCGCAGCCACAGCTCTGAGCGCAGATCGTTTAAGCTCGTCTTGTTTCTCGAATTCTTGTTTAACTGAATTTGCCTTCACCTTAGTTTGTAACGTCGCACGTAGAGGTTCCACGAGGATATCCACACCTAAAGGAAAATATAATCACAGTTGAAACAACGACAAAGGAATGCGATCAGGAAAATTAAGCGAGTTCTTGGGGTAAATTACCTGCCGTTTAAGTGGAATGCGCTCCCGAGGGTATTAACTTGTCTAAGTGCCTGGAACATCTCACTCCAGATTAAAAAGATGTGAGTTCCCCAGGGATACTCAAAGAATGAAATTCCCAGGGGATAAGTAAGATCAGTTCCGAAGAATTGTGTCCAAGTCCCAGTATCCATGAGCCAAATCCGGCTTCATCATAAACCTCGGTACTAAAAGGAGCTACGTCACGGTTTGCGCGTCTTGAAAAGTTTAGCCTAAATTTTTCAAGATCGTCGTTTGTAATCCGTGTTAATCTTCTACATCCTAAACCATCCTTGTTCCTTCATGGTTTCTAATTATCTCTTTGATGTTTTTCTATCTTAGCAAACTACCATTTTCAGGTTCCTTCAGTTTCAAAGTAATATTATTCGTGGCTAAAATACCGTGACCGAGCTCCTTTAATATTGGCATACAGGAGACCAGTTAACAAAAACATTATTAACGAGAATGCCTGAAGTACAATGCGGTTACTTACGTTGTAGAATAGCATTTGGACACAACGACGAAAGCCTCACTAGCATCAGGAACGTCAGCATCTAAATAACAAAGAATAGGAAAAAACTTACGCTTCTTGTCTTTAGTTTTCTCATTACAAGGGATGCCTGTGTCACTACACACTACGCCGGAGAAATTTGAAAACGGCGATTTCACTCCGAAAACGCGTCAAACCAGTGTTTTCCGTGCACGTTACGCCGAAGAAATTTGAAAACGCAACAATCACCGGTCATCTTGGATTTGTGTTTGAGGAAATCTCTGGCAGGCAAATCACATGATCATCGTGACGTCATCGTTTTTGAAAAGTTCCGTTTTCTAAACGTTTTCCGTCCACGCAAAAACGCTTAGCCAACGTTTTCAAATTTTCCTTTCGAAAAGCTCCGTTTTCGTGACGGATTAGGCCTAACTGTAGAAATAAAGCTGCGTTTTCAAATTTCTCCGGCGTAGTGTGGAACAACTGTTCAAGTAGCAACCCAGTTGTTTCTTCGGGGTTGAAATATTTTGCCCACCAACCCTCCTTAGCAGAGCTGGGTTCAAATAAGGAAACGTCAGTTTGTTTTGTCAGGATCGCATCGTTTAACAATCACGTGATTGTACTAACCTTGATATCATAGTGATCTTTAAGCCCGTCTTCCACGTGACTAAGAAACTCGAAGATGTCCAGCCGGTCAAGGCACGTGTCGAGAAGCGTGTACATACATTCAAACGCGGCCTGATGTTAAACAAACGGAGATTGTACCATCTTTCATCTTTCATGAGATTCATCACTCAAACCCCAGTCCAAAATACAAAAGGTACGCTATAACAGGTCTCTTTTAACCCCTCCCTAAATCACTCAGCTATATGTGACCTCTACAAAGCCCCTTTGAGCCATACACTGTACCTGCTTAGGAGATATTCCACTTTGCAATAACACCTTAATTCTGAAGAGAGATGAACAATGCACCATCTGTGCCCTCTGTATCGTTTTGTACACAGGCACACATTGACTTGGAGCTCAGGCTTTCAATTCGACAAAAGCTTCCGGCACGTGAATTTCCGGACATTTTCAATGGCGAGTGGAACAACATTTCCAGAAATTTCCCCAAAAGAGGACAATTTCGAGAGGAATGCCCAAATTTACGAAACTATCTTGCCGCAAATTTCGTTCCATTTTGATTTTGCTCACGGTATTTTCGGTTGCATGGTTCGCAATTAAAAATTCAACAATTCTTAGATTTTCCCCGGAAACTTTCTCAGGAAAAGTCCGTATCACTTGTCCTCGTTTCGAAAATGCCGTAAAGTTCTGGTCGAATGCAAAGCGCCCTAGGAAACAACGAACAAGCCCACACCTTTCTGATATCCAAGCCATCATCCACCGTGTGTTTGAATGGACCCATTTCAACTTCTCGGATGAGCTCTTTCTACAAGAAACGAAACAGACGGAATATTAACAGATTTCTACTTTAAACACCAAGTAGATTTGACTATGGAAATAATCTGTACAAGTATTATAGTTGACCTTTGTTAAGGAGATCCATAACACTGAACTCCTTACAATACAAGATATTAAGGGGAGGTAAATTACATACTAGTTATCTAACGTTTTCGAGTGGTATACCATGCAACATCCCACGAGCCACTTGTATTTTCTCACCTACACGAGCCTTGAGGCTCGTGTTTGTACTGATGCAGATACAAGTGGCTCGTGGCACAGTACATGGTATACCACAAGAGAGTGTTGCATAATTATGTTATACCATTCAATAGAAAATACAGTGGACAACACAATCACTGAGATGCGTGACATGCGATGGGAAGGTTGGATGAAATACCGTCGAATATACAATGGCTTTCCTGTGTTCTGATTGGCTCTATTTTTTTATGGGATGGTACAAACAACTTATCTTGTTGAAAAATAACCCCTTTTCTTGTGAATACAACACAAACACCATACGGTTCCATTTATGCTCCCCTGCAAAGAACTTTCTTTCACCTTTGAATTAACTCCCCCAATTAGTAATAAATTATTTTAATTTTGACCAATAAACCCCGCTATTAAAAGAAGAGCTATCAGCTAAGCACGCCCTACTGCCAATGCCCACGTCCAAACTTCTAGTTTGGCGAGTACGTAATTATGTTCAGGCAAAGATGATGAAATAAAGAAACTGTCGCTTTATCAGCATCTTCACTCTGCTGCCAAATTATAGCATAATAACTGTACACTTTCCGCCTGTCTGGAGAGCAAATTGTTTTTAGTTTTAACTTCGGAGGACGCTGACTAAATTTACATACAAGATTTCACTAAGGACAGGATTTCACTAAGGACAGGACTAGCTTTTAATCAACCTACCCTGACTTTAGTTTCATTATAGAGCTGAGGAAGTATTTGATCCAACAGGTCTCTGATTAGACTCGGCTTGTTGTGAGCTGCAGAGTTGAATGTAACTAGAGCCACTCGGCGAACATTCTGTGAGAAGAAGACACTGGTAAGCAACAATAACAACAAAAAGTATAAAAATAACAACAACAACATCACGAGCATCAACAACAACATCAATAACAACAGCAGCATCATCATGAAAACATCATCATAATCGTCAACAACAACAACAACAACAAGAACAACAACCAAAACTTGAAGAAGAGTGGTTACCGCAGCTTGTAATAATTGTACAGTGAAGTGTATTCATCAATTTGGTGTCGTTGAAAATTTAAAACAGTGCTCTATAACTTCAGTTCGACATCTACAAAGGTTTTTATTTACCATTTGTTCTATTTTTATAACTCAAAAATTACCATAAGTACACATGTAAATAAATGAAAGTGTAAAATGTTCTTCATCCTTTCCGCCACGATAAACTGCAATGAACTATCGTCCTCTTGAAATAAGCAACGAATCCTTGCCAGAGGGACGCCTGGCAGCATTTCACCAACGATGCTACAAATTACTTGATATTGAACTGAACATATCATTGACCACTTTGTCTTCATAGTGAATAGCTGATATTGCAATTATCCGCGGTTTGACATACAAACGACCCTTTCGCTTCATTCACATGCCCTTCTAAACAAAAGAATATTTCACCGCAGACTCAGCTGCAATAGCAGCTATCTGAAATTTTCTCAAAAAGGTAAACGAGCAGGTAAGGTCAGTTGACATGTAAAACAAACACACACCAGATCTGGGTCCTGAACTGTCCTGAGAAAGTCTCCTATACATCCTCTGAGCTGACTGTCTATCGGTTGAGGCTGAGGAAAAATGAAAGTAAAGGTAGGGTAAAAACCAGGGGAAAAAGCCAAGCATGCTTGGAGCTTTTTTTCTCTCTATGATCTTTAAACTATACTTTACATTACCAGAAATCTCCTAGCCTTCTATCACGAATGCTGTTCTCTGATTGGCTACGCTATTCACCATCTATTCTGTTGTAGATAGTGAGTAGCCTAGTAGTGTGTGGCTGTTAACAAAATGGCGGCCGCTTCTTTACGTTTTCGAAGTGTCTGAGAATAGGATTTAGATACAGTTTTGAACGACCGGTAGATTTATGCTAAAACAATTAGATTATTCGCTCTCGATTTCTACGCGCGATAGAAATCTCGCGCTCATAATCTAATCGTTAGATATAATGTCTCTTTTATTCACAAGAGTTCCTGGGCAATGAGCAACTCGATGACCCAGGTGGGGGTGGGTGGAAGGGGGATGCTCGTCTTCTCACTTATGAGTATACATCAACGATTCTGGTCTCACTTAGGGTGTTCAGACGAAACATCACTAGTTTTGTGCCGAAATCAGTTCTTCATTTTAACAACTGTAACAGTTTTGTTTTGTGTCCCAAAATAAGTATGGGATTCTCCCAGGCTACAAGGTATTGGCACGTTAATAAATAACAAGCATTCTGTAAAGGCATGCCATGGTAGAATAATTCCCGCAGCACTCAATTCTTGACTTGTTGGCATGGAGAGCCAATCTTAAGAGTTGTCACACGCATGCTATCACTGCCATCGGCGGATCCAGACCTTGAGCTAAGGNCCTAGTGAAAAAATGGATCTATACATTGCCTTCGAATATCGCATTGTCTAGTTTCTGCTCGGTACACCGATCGGCCTAAAAACCTGCTCAAAAAGCCTTGATACAGTACCGGATGGTCCAGGCATTTAAGTTACTCTATAGCGATAACATTATTTCTCAGTGGTTTTGTAGATCGAGAATATTATAAATATTGATCACTTTTATACATGTTTGTAAATAAAGCCCCGTCCACAAGTATCCGGATATTTTTGAATCCGCAAATTTCTCTTTACGATTCAAAAATTTCCCCGTCCACGCGTAGCAAAAATATCCAGATTCGCTGCCGAATTCGCCGGATGCGTGTGGACGGAAGCCGTATCCGGAAAGAAAAAGTTTCCGATTCAAAAATATCCGGATACGTCCGGACGGGGCCTAAATAAACGTTCACAGAAAGAGTTTTTCAGAAAATTCATCTGAAACGTGCCGAAAGTAAAATCTAAAGTTCAACAGATCGCATAATTTAATACGTAATGCTACATTCTGGTTTTGCCTTTATGTTTTTTTCTTTCTATAAACCCCTGAAGACCATGCTGAACTGCGTGCGCAAATTTGTCAAAATCAGGATACTTTTCCACACGCTTTATCTCTGAAACGAAGTCGGTGATCCCCATTTTTTTTGCATTTCTGACACAAGTAAGTCATTATCCCACTCCAGTAAAAATTAAAAAGAAATCTGTCAACTGGAAAATTTTAGCGCGAACGTCCTTAAGGCAGTGTCCACTCTACGTCGGAGAAATCTGAAAACGACCTTTTCACTCTGAAAACGCATCAAATGTATTCCGTCGACACTACGTCAGAGAAATTGGAAAACGCAACAAACACCGGTCATTAGAGATTTGTGTTTGAGGAAATCTCTGGCAGGGAAATCATATGAACATCGCGAGGTCATCGTTTTCGAAAAGCTCCATTTTCAACATATTTTCCGCCCACACGGCGTTTTCAAATTTCTGCGGTTTGAAGAACGTTTTCGAAAAGCTCCGCTTACTTGACAGGTTAGTGTGGACGGTAGGCCTAACCTGCGTTTTCAAATTTCTCCACAGTAGTGTGGACGGGATCTAAGCTCCCTAATTCCTGCGGATTAACACAAACCTTAAGTTGTGGTAGAAGCCGCAGTGGATCAACAAGCGTCAGTTTGCCAAGACACTCAGCAACAACGTTCCTTGTACCTTCCTCTGTACTTTCACAGTGACTGAACAACAAGGTCCTGGACGAGAAAGCAAAGTTTGTAATAAAGGACGAGCCCTTTTTTTAGGGAAAGGGTGGGGGAGGAGGGATTAGGCAGTTTTCTGGGGCATGAATTTTGTTCTCACCCTTAGGTTGTGCATATTTTTTTGGTAAGCAATAGCTTGTGCAAGATTTTTATTAACATCAACAATCGAAATAATGATAGCAGAAAGCACTTACTCGATTTTGTTTCCCATGGCTCCCTTCGCAAGATTTTTTTCGGCAATTTTTGTTGTGCAGAATTTTTTTTTGGTAATTATCTTCCACGATAGTTAAGTCTTACCATATCGAACCAATGAATGGTTTTAGAGCTTCAACTCCCCTCGAGCTTCCCGCTTCGCATGATATAACCTTGGAAGAGAAAGAAGAACTAAGATTACAGAATTTCCTTAAGGGGCAATCACAACTAGGTTACGAGAAAGCACTGCGTTTAATAAAGCCAGAGGAAAGTGCATCGCTTCACAAAAATACTGCATGATCATGAAACAGAGAGAAACAGGTGTTAGAGCACTTTTTTTTTTAAACTGTCGATTTACTAAGCTATGTGATTGGTTTAAAAATCGCGTCACTTTCTCGACCAATCAGAAGGTGACATTCAAACCAATCGTAAGTAGTTCATACAAGTTTTCCCGCGCTTTGCGCCGGCTACATCATGTATTTGCTTCGAGTGTTGATTGGTTCACTGGATTGTCTATGTCCTTTCTGATTGGCGGGGTGATAAGCGAGTGCTTTGTGTACCTCTTTGAGAGAATGAAGCAACAGATATTGTCTCTTGGGATTTGCTTGAATCTCCTTGAGTAGGAACGGCAGGTACAACTTCAAATTACCGGCAGCGATTTTACCTGGCCAAAGAAGAAGCAAACTATTACATGTACGTACAATTTCAATTATTCAACTGACAATAACAGACACCTACTTTGTTGCACACCAGTGTCTGTGCTGGTGTATCCCAGATCATATAAACCCAGACGCTGTAGCATCAAGTTGGCAAAAGTATCGGTAATTTCCATTAGATGTGACGCTACTCCAAATCCGCCAAATGCAGGTTATTTCCTCCACAATCCTCACTCAGTTTAGAAAACCATTTAACCATCGTGAAGTATTAATTTAGTATATTAAATATATGGTATAACACAATCAAAAACAAAACATAAAACATTTATATATCTGTAACAGCATAGTAAGAATGAAGTGTCTTGTACAAATAACAAGCACGAAACATCTTACGCAGACATCCTTTTGCCAAGTCACGCATTCCTGTCATTCTTCGTCAACGATGAGTGCGTGACGGGCCAAACGAGACGCAACACAAAGGCACTGATCAGGTTTAATCTCTCGACGTCTCAATCTCAATATTAACTGCATCTAGGCCTAAATGTCCAGCTTAATATTACCCAAATTCCTGCACTACCCTCTAATGTTGATGTCAGTTTTTACCTAACCTTGATCTCAGTTTGGTCTTTATCTCAATAGTTATTTCAATATTAATGTCAGTGTAACCAACTTGATCACACGAACCTAGTGCAAAGGAAGCTGCTGATTTTATTTCTTCTGATGGAGATGAGAAACAATCCAAAATGGCCTCAGCCAAATCCTGGTGACTGCTGAGGTCACTGCAAGAAAAAGAGATTTAATTTCATTTTGTTTTCTACGGAACAAAGCGCTTGGACTAAGTTTGCTGTAAATAGCTTCATACACATTCACTGTTTGACTTCGAAACATAAGTCTATGCTTTACCACGCCTAAAACGCAAAGGAAGCAATGACATTGTCATTGATGTCAGGTGATAAGAAAATCAGAAGAGAACAGCACGTTGGACGTGACGAATATGACAGGAAGTTGCCACAATGAAGAGAACAGGAGGTTTTCAAGAGGTTTTCAATGACAAATATGGAAGTTGCCATGACGATTGAAAACAGGAAGTCGGAGCATGGAAAACAAGAACTGTATTTTGTACATACATGTGTCTTCCTATTTCACCCAGTGAGAGCAGCGAAAACAACCTGACTGGATCAGAAACTTTTGCACTCTGCAAGAGAGACAAAGCGATGTTCACAGTATGAGAATTACAACGCTCGGCCTTGACTGTTCAAAGACAGGATAATTTTATCCTCTGGATAATCTCCTTTATAATCCATCAAATATTTTCGCTCGCGCGCGATTGGTTTAAACACGTCACGTGACCGAATATTCCCCAGGTGAAACTGGGGAATATCCGAGACTAGTGTATACCACACAAGTGAATAGTGTTTTTCGCGCGCTCTGATTGGTTAACTCGGAGGTGATTAGCAAGTACTATTGTTGTCTAATCACTCTGCAGTGAAACGAAAACAAAATAATTTCTAACTTTGTATAAGTAAGAAAACATCAGTCATATAGGAGGGGGCATCTCGTTTATTGATCAGACATAAATTGCCCTAGGATAGTTATTAACACAATAAACGTAGTAAACAAAAACACGGAAATTTACTAAAATAAAATTTCCAAAATGAACTGATCAAAAGCGGAGATGCCGTCGAAGTGACAACTCCTAACGGACAAACTCCTTAAATATAACTTCTTAGCATAATTACGTAACCTGCATACCAACGAATCTACATACCAGTACAAAACTTCTTACAATAACAACGTGAAAAATTATATTTCACCTTCGAGCAACCGGCGCGAGAGATTTTAAAATTTCCGACCGCTTGTCACACATTATTCAGCTTGTGTGGTATATACTAAAACAATTATTCACCTCAGTGTCGGTGAAAGTGAATAATTGTTCGCACTTCGGTGAATAATTGTTAGATATTCCCCAATTTTCAAAACTGCGCGCGTTGCGAAAAAGATTTGAAGAATAATAAACACAATAGCCTCCATTTGGGGGGAAAATAAGCTCGGAAATTTCTCCTTGGACATTATCTGTTCCCTGTTCCCTGTTCCAAAGTCATCTTCCCTGACTCTGAAGATGACTTTGGCTTTCCATTAAGGTTGAAGAAACGTCAGTCACCAACCACCCACACCCATATGATCGCAGTGGACGAGCTGCTGATACTCCTGAGTTCAAACCATTTACTATCAAACCAACTAAAAGTACGCTGTCTAATGGACAGAGATTTTACACTGTGAATATCCTTCTTCATCTTTTTCAACAACCAATCACCACTTTAGAAACGAGAAAAAATCTGAGGCGAGTGTCATCTCGCAGTCGCTTGATAGACCGTTATAGGGACAAAACGAAAGACGAGAAGTCATACTGCCCCTGGTAAGACTCCACAAGGAACTGCGAGAGGAGTCTCGCCCCAGAATAACCTGCATTGAATTACGTTGTATAGGCCATACAATGTAATTTAATGTAGTCAATGACTGTTTGTCTACTGCAAGTTGCCTCGTACGATCAAAAGCAGCTCCTACAATATAAGAAGTCATAACAAAAAAATCACGGGCATGGCTGCTGTTCATAAAAATCACGCAGGAAATGGAAGAGCTTTATTTTTGCAAAAACCAAATTGCGTTCACAACACCACCAAAAGGCTGCATCGTTTAAGAGATTACTGACTGTACCTGAATATCTTTAACAAACTGGTTCACGACAGATTGGCCATCAGATGGACATGACATGGCTAATGCAGCAACACATTTAGCGATGGAGTGGAAAGCCTGCAAGAAAACACAAATGGCATGTCAAATCAAAAAGTTACAAAACCCAAGAAAACATAATTGAAATTGGCAGTCAACACGAAAAATAAAAATTAAAGTAAAAAACCTGTTTATGGATGACTGTCTGTTGATTACCATGGCTTGAAGAATAAATCGGAGATACTAACATCTGAAAATAAAAATAACCAGAACGTCAGCAAACAGCTTCACTAAACAAGGACTGCTGATAAAAGAAATTGTTCCGACTCAAAACATCCCACAAAATTAAATTATAACAAAAATAGTAAAAATTACAATGTCAATCAATGTAGTTAGCACTTCTGGGCTAATTGAGGACACAATAGCTAAAAAACAAACATTGCAGCAAAATCGTTAAGAATCCCAGCAAGTGACAGTCACTTTTCAGTCTTCTCTCAGCCGTCATCACACAATGCCCCACGGGAGGAAGAGTTGCGTGACAACTCCAAACGACGGCTGCGCAGGAGACTACCCAATTGGTGGATGGGAGGTCTGGCTAGCTGCCTAGTTACGCAAGACCCAGGAGTTGAATTCTACATGTCCGTAAGCAATTCCAAACCCAATACACCGATTCCAGAAAAAAATCGGAAGTTGCACGCAAGCGAGGCTTAATAGCCCTCGAGCTTTCAAAATGGCGGACGAAATGCTGGGGAAGAACGAAAAAATTCGAATGTATGTAGGT